ATCCTTCCAGTCAAAAGTCCTTCGAACAATAGTCGATGCTTCTTTCTATGTAACCAACAAAACCCTACATCATGACCTCAACATCCCATTTGTCCTAGACCTTATCCCAGAAGAATTTACCAAATTTAACCAGAACCTTATCTGTCATCCAAATCCTCTTGCAAAATCCCTATCAAGCACAAACCATCCCTATAATCCTCCAAGAAGGTTGAAACGGCAGTGGCCTCGCGACCTTTTGTAGATTATATATATTGGAATTATGACAATAGCCAGATTCTCCACTCAAGACATGAGTGTATGTGGCTAGTGCTCTCGATCAATCTCCGCTGGCTTGAGTACCAGTGATGCGGTTGAGAGAGTAGCGCAGAGTTCTCCTGGAGTCCATGTTTTGCCTCCATGGTTGGAAGGACAAGCCTTCCTCGGAGTTCCCTTGACTGATTGTAAATAGTGTATATAGGTATGCATGTGTTTTTGCTATGTTTTAATTTTCTTATTTTTAGGTTATTTTATTTTATTTATTGTATATACGTTTTGATTATTATTTATTGTTATTTTTATTCTATGTATTTTATATTGTTTGTACAGATAGTGTAAATGTTACCCTACCTCACTATAACTAATGTCCAAGTGACATATTGTTGTGATACTTAATAAATAAATAAATAAAATAATTAAAAAAACAGCGACAATTTTGATGATATCGATATAGTAGGGAATGTTTGAACACGTGCAGAATTTTAAGTATATAAAGCCTACGATAACTAAAAAAAATAAATTGAAGAGGATATTAAGTTTGGATTGAAGGCGGGAAATTCTTGTCGTTTTTCTTTGACAAGACAACTTAAAAATTAGAATATTATCCTTCCTACGATTCATTATGGATGCGAAACGTGGCAGCTCACATTAGGGGATAAGCAACGTCTTAAGGTTTTTGAAAATAAAGTTTTTCAACTGTATCAGGTTAATATAATTGGTATGATTAGGTTGAGCTGAATAAAATGGGCATGTAAAATCACTAGGCTTGGTAACGAAAAAATCCTTTAAAAAATAATATGCGCAGAGCCAACAGGTACAAAGCGAAGGTGGGACCAAAACGAAGGTGGGACCAAAACGAAGGTGGGAAGACTGCGTTGAGGATGATCTGGCGGGGTTTGATTTAGACGACCCCCGGTTGATGGAAGAATGTGGGCATCGATTAGTGGTATCGGCATCGAACCTTCGGATTCGCTAAGCCATATTATCATACTGTTGTGACCTCAATTATAGTTCGCACGATTCGGTATTATTTAACCGTCTAAGTTCTCCGGTTGATTCATCCTTCTTCGGTACGAATATTTTACGCAATACTTTATTTTCAAAAACCTTAAGACCTTTCTCATCCCATGATGTAAACGGCGACGTTTCGCATCCATAAAGAGAAATGGTAAACGTTTTAAGATAGAATGGTTTTGGAATTTCTATTTTTTAAATTTCGGGACAGGAGGCGTACAAATTACAAACACGATACAATTTGTTTATATGCAGACAATTAAACAGACATCTATCTAAAAATTAAACACTTTATACCTGAATTCATTGCGAATAAATATTATTCTTTTAAATAAACGCTGAAGAGTGAGGAGAAATAAATATAAAACGTAAGAGCTTTTTTTTTCCTATTAGAATAACAAGGAAGAAACAATGAAATCGCTCAGAAAGGTGACAAAATAAACTAGAAACCATGCTTTTAGTTTAATATGCAAATGCTTCAGCCATTACCAAATTAGTTTTCGGGGAAGGGAGTATTTTGTCGGTTTTCCCTATTGCTTGAAACTAATAGACCATACCTGATTTTATGTCAAGAGGATACGGTTGATAAAAGAGACATTTTTGTTCAAACATTATTAAGTAGCATCTTCCATAAATTTGTAGGCTATATCGATGAAATTAAAATAGAAAATTATTTTGATGACGCTTCCAAATCTTTCATAATCTAATAATAGATACAGATATGTATGTGACCGAAAATGAATAATATTGTATATAATTGGGCACTAAAACTATTATATTGAAAACATTTATATGAAGTGAACGACCAATATTCAAGGGCACAAATTTCATTTCAACGACATCTGTAATCAGTATTGTCAATCAATATTGATCCTGAAGAAATCTTAAATGAGATTAAATAAAAACTCTTTAGAAACTATAGTCTCTAAAAATGTTTAAATTTTCAGCAATTCGCCAATTTATACATCAACAAAACAGAAAATAGTACATAAAGGGGCAAAAACCAAACACCGCACAGCTTATATCTGTTATACTATGTTTTAACGATTGTATTAATATTTTATTGTATTAACGAACAAATATTAACAAAATAATTTAATTGCCATTTTTTTTAAAAGGTTTACCCATTTTGAAAGCTCGATAGTTTGGTTCCTATTGGGTTTAGAAAGAAATGGTGTGTATAAAAATTTTAGATAATTTTAAGCTGTTTAAAATTGAATAAAATTATTTTTTAGGAAGAAGATATTTAGCGCAAATAAAAAAAAAAAATAGTTCGAAATGTCAATGGCTTTTGGAGCACAGCAGCGAACCCAAAACGATTGATAATAAATGTTTCAGTCAAATCGGAACTAATTGAAAATAAAAACTAAATTTTTATTTAAATACCTGTTTAGTTGATAACATCGCTAGCCTTATAATGCTAATAAAACGAAAACAAATCATGAAAAAACATACTAGAGTACACGAGTTTAAAGCTTTAAAAATATTTTTTAACAATCCCGATAAAAAAAAATTCGGAAAAAGTAACGCAAAAATCGATTCCGTAATGCACGAAATAAACAACGATGACATTTACCGATTTAGCATTCACAATAACCAATTCATACAGTAATCAATATTAAATAACCCAAATTAATTTCAAAAGCTCCTTAGTAAACACACCGTCTCTAATCATATCAAAATGAAAAATCTATAATCAGGTCGTACACAAAGTATACTTAAAAGAGTTAGTTTGCGTCCTTTGTGTACCATATACTAATTTTCTTGGTGTGCTCGAGAGCAGATAAATCTACGACTTAACGAGGTCAACTTCGGCCGACCCTGGATTAGCTTTCCGATGGACCTCTGGAGATTGTATAATTTGCATAATATTGTGTCTTCGCTTAGTCCTGGACAACAATTCTATGTATTTGCAACAAGAATTTAAATCAATCCTAACCATCATCTGTACTGCTATTATGTAAACAACACTTTCATGGAATATAACTTGTATTATTTTTTTTTAGTTTGATATTCTTAAAGTTTTGGTTCACAACTTATCTCCATGTACTGCTTTTAATTCAGCATTATTTCTCCTTCACCATGTTTATATATATATACATACATATTACTACCGAAAGATTTTTTTTTATGTATATATTAGAATAATTACTTCGGAAGAAAGAAAGAAATTAAGTACCTATAATTCCAATTAAATGCAATTAGACGAACAATAATACTTTTAGAGATCATTTTTTTCATAAAACGTGGTTATATTTTACCATTTTGGGGAGTTCTTCAGCCCGAATGGTTGCTGAGAAAGAACATAACTGTGTATGAATAGTGTTGCCCAAAATCGGTCTTGGTATTGCACTTTGCCAAGACCAAGACCAGGACTGGTAAAAAAAAATCGATTTTTTAAATAAAAATTAAGGCAAAATAGTTACTAATACTTGACAATCTTGGTTACTATATGTTAATAATTGATATAACCAATATACTTTTGCATTTAACTCCTCTAATTTTTCATTCGGGCTTAGTTAGGTTTCCCCTATCTAAAAAATTACAGTAATATCTCTATAGTAATAAGCTAATAAGTAACTGCAAGACTCTTGCGCAAGACCAAGACTTAGTTTGCAAGATCAAGACTCGTTCGGTTTCACATTTGGGCAACACTATGTATGTGTTAAAGTTTTGTTGAAATAAATTACAAAATTTCTATATGGCTCTAGGACTATTAAACAGCTGAGGCTCTGCCATTCCATTCTTCAATGGACCAAACAGCTCCTTGTGTCCTATCTTGTTTTCTTCCAATGCGAGTATGGCAGCTTGGTTTACGCAAGGCTACAGAGGTGTCGATGAGGCTGAAGAAACTGGTGAATTGTTTCATTAGATTCACTTTGGAGTCCCCAAATGCTTCCACGTCTCCACTAGTGGATCCAGGATTTAATTTGGGGAGAGAGCTTCAGACCGAAAACTTCTTTTTTTCATATATATAACGATAATTAATTTGAAAAAAAAAGAAAGAAACTAACTGCCTGTATGGCATGGTGTATAAGTGATTCTTGAAGTCCTATGAAATGTAATTACGCGAACAATAATACTTTAAGAGATAGTTTTAAATACTTTTTTCTATAAAACATGATTAAATTTTACCATTTTGGGGGAAGGGGGAGCTTCAGCCCGAAAGCCCCCTCCCCTCGTAAATCCGCAAGTGCACTTCTGCAGTTGGTAAACCGAATTAAAGTGACTATCCAATTTTCCGACGGCAATATTTCCTAGGTATTCTTTTCCGAACCTTAACAACCCAAAAACCTCCCTATCTTCTCGATTTCTTTACTACTTGTTCGTTATGTCCAATCTTTAAATATAAGAACCCAGCCCACAAATAGATGATAGAACCGCTTTCTATAAAAAAAAAACCTTTATCATGTGTGATGTCTTGTTTTAGGATAACTTATTTCCCTTCATGAGCAAAAACTCAGCTTTAACTTAATTTAAACTCCAATTATTGAAATTATATCATTAAAATTTAGAAAAGATTCATCCTAAACATCATTTTGTTAACCAAAGTGTTTCGATAACAATACGTTATTCTAAGTATATGATGCATGAATAACATTGAATGATATTTATTAATTAAAATTAAATAAATCCAACTATTTTTAAGGACGGAATTTTAAATATGGGGTGAGCCATAATATTAATCTAGCTGCCATCTGTCGGCGGCGGATTGAACTCGATATCAAAACATGCGCAGTGAACCTTTCTGCTTGGTGTAGTTTGTTTGTATCTGTGCGATTCTTGTAACCGTTACTACATTACTCTATTTACATTATAAGTTTGAAAGTTGATAATTATTAGTTTTAGACATTTTAGATCTATATTTATTTTTCAAAATACCATCAAATGGCTGCCAGCGAAGGAAGCCAAGTTTGCTCTTTACCTCTTCCACCAGCTCAATATATAAACAATTATACCGATGAAAATATTAAAAGGGGTCGTGCCCCCCGACCGCCACCACCAATCCATGACACTTATTCTATGTTTGGAAACACTTTTAATGCTGATGACACCATCATCAGGCCATTAGAATCTCAGGTAAAAATTATATATGTCAGTGATAATTAAAGTTTAAGTGTTCTTTCATAACTCTTAATATCACATCTAATTTTTAGGGTATTAAACGCCTCTACCCTCAACATTTCGACAGGAGACGAGAACTACGAAAATTGAATCATTCACTGCTAGTCAACTTCTTAGATTTGTTAGATTTACTTGTGAAATGCCCGGAATCGCCTCGAAGGGCAGAAAAAGTGGAAGATTTAAGTTTACTTTTCATTCATATTCATCATCTTCTTAATGAATTTCGACCTCATCAAGCGAGAGAAACTCTTCGAGTTATGATGGATTTGCAAAAGCGACAAAGAATCGAAATAGCTCAACGTTTTCAGAAACATTTAGATAAGGTAAGCAGGTTTAATTTACATTTGTTCATGTAGAGTGAAGTATGCCTGTAATATTTTATAAAAAAATATATAACCTTCCATTTAGATATTTGGTACTAGTCTACAATTAAAACTAGTGCGGTTCACGATCACTTCAATCTTACTTGTTCATAGAATCCAGTAAGGACCCAGGTTTATCTGAAAGATTAAAGACAAACTATCTCTTGAGTTTGTTCAAAAAACTTAGGGTAGTTGTATTCCTTTATACAGTGCAAACTGACATATACATGGATTTTCGGTTACGTCATATGACCCTTAATTGAGCTTATATGTATTGAGCTGTATATTAAAAATTTGTGTTAGTTCACAATCACTTCGATCACACTTGTTCAGGAATTACTGAATGCATTCGGGTATATCCGAAAGAAAACAAAGGCGACTGATCTCTTGACTGAGTTACTATTAACTTTCCCGCCATTTATGTACTTCTATAACCTTAACCATGTTCAGTTCTATAGCAGGAGCCGACTTATATTCGAAATTTAGGCTACTTCATGTAAGCTTAATTGAACTTGTACATATATTATACAACTGTAGAAAAGAAATAGTAATAGATAAAAACCTTTAATTATTATATCTCTGAATACTATTTCACGATATTATTTTTCTTATTGATGATTTCCAATATTCATTATCTCAAAATTATCAGATATTCTTCGACAGTTGTTTCCCCAATACGTTAATTCCTTCCTCGAAAATTAACATGATTTTTTTTTTTTACGAATGACTAGAATAAGTCCCCATTTCCGGATTACTAAGCAAAATAACTATGAATAACAATAATTATGTTCAATAATTAGCTAATTCATTCAATAAAAATAATATAGATTAAATTGAGAAAATAAATTTTAAGTTAAAAGTATAGTCCAACTAACTGTCAGATCTATAGGTCCCGTTGGGATTAGACATTATTGAAATACATATTTATCTATATAACGATTAATATATAGATTTTATTTATTAATTTTGTCCACTTTTCTCGCGCAATCTTTAATCTGACATTATTTTCATAAAACGCGTCCTTAACAACTTAATAGTGGACTCTTATATCTAAGAAATCCAAAAAGCTAGAAAAAATGCTATTTCATGATTTAAATTTTTTTCTTATTGATAATTTCCATTATTCAGTACCATGGCAGTCGGCAACATTCGACATTCCATGAATTAATGTGACCTAAGTTATTGTGAACCACATCTAATCTTATACTCTCCCTCAAAAAGGATAAACAAACCCCCTGCAGATCCTCATAAGTTGATTGAGTTTAGATACATATCGGACCGTTCAGTTACCGTCATCAACTTTCAGATATACTCGGTTATCCTTACGATTTCATTTATAATATGATCATGTGATTTGAAAGTGATTGGAGGAACATCTGTAAAGTTGTACTAACATTTATTGAAATTTGTTGTAGATAAGAGCTGCTAAAAGGCCATTGTAACTATATGTTATATAAATAAAAGGATTTGTGTCATTTTAGTGCACTTACTATGTCTTTTATTAACATTAAATAAGGTTGACGTTCACAAAAACATTTTTAAAAATTTAACTCCATGAGAATGATGATGTGCTAACAAAATATAACAGGCCATTATTAAATGGGTCTTTTTTGGAATGATGTTGAAAGGAGTATCGTATTTTGTCTGTGTATATGGAATACATATTTTTTCAGTGCTGATTTGAGAAATGTTGACGGATTAGTTTGTTATCTACATTTTAGGGACTTCAGGCGTTTTGTTTGCAATTTTCAAATTATATCCCAAAGTCAGCGTGCTAACATAACTTGTCATTGGACGGAAACCTGTCGGTTTTAGAAAGTGGAAAAAAAGCCAATTTTGTTTATGTAGCTTCTTTTTTTATCAATTCTAATAAATATTTTAAGAGTGTTGATGTAAAATTATGAAGAAGAAAAGAAATGATCATCAGCATTGGTTTAAATTGAAACCGTTCAACAAAAATTTACTTTTTCTCAACTTTCTAAGCTTATGATTATGATGTGAAGCAACTCAGTTTCAAAATTTCTTTAAGAAATTAAGGCCCTGGTACAAGTAAAGGTGGGGAAACACACACGTCAAGTGGGGCCTATATGTCATTTTTGCCATTAATTAAGAACTTAATAAACAGTTTATTACTACGGTACTGGAAGATATTATTTAAGTTAGTAAACACAATTCACTATTTTTACTTTCACTAACCTATGTATGTAATACATAAGGGTATTGCGATTGTGAAAATGTTTGAATCTGAGTTTTCAACAGATATACACGTTTTGAGATGCCCTGAGTCCAAATAACCAAGTCCCACAAAATGGTCTGTGTGTGTGTGTGAACCTCGGAAACGAAAAGTTGTACGAAGCTGATATTATGTATTTAAGTTTTGTATATGCCTGGGATGTTATAGCATCTTATTCGTCAAAATCAGAAAACCAGAAGTTGCGCGTAATGTAATTGATTTAACACATTTTTACGATTTTCTCAAATACGGCTATTACGATTTTAATTAAACTCGGTATATGTCGGTGTATTATTAGGTTGTTTTTAATATCAACTAGGTCTTATAGACATTGATGTCATTTTACAGGACTTAAATGCCCAATGTTCATATACGTCTTCCTCTAAAGTACCTTAATTTGGTGTATTTAAAAAAAATAATAATTCTCTCTTATTGGCAGTAACTATAAAAAATGGCTAACTGTAAAATATGAAAGAATTTGGTAATTAGAAAATGGAGAAAAAAGGAAAAATGTTAATTTATGTCGAAAATGAATCTCCAGAAATACTATTCAGAAAATATACTTATAATATATCATTGGAAAGCGTAGAATTTTAGAAAAAACGATATCTAATATAAGAAGTCATAGAAGGTAATGGAGAGTGACAAAAAATTATAAAAATAATTTGTGATAACTAATATTATTTAACATAAATTACATGTTTCTAAAGAAATTAAATGAAATTTACTTGCTAAATGTAAAATTTTTGAAAAAAGTATTTAAAATTCACCGAATCAACCCAATGGCATTGTTTAAAAAACTATTTAATTGTACTTGTGCAAAAGAAGTGAAATATAAAAATATTCATATGCTTATAATCTTGAATATATTTACTGAATATATTATATTTAATGTAGTTTAATAACTCTGGATCTGATATTATATTTAAATAATTATGTATACGTCCTCGATTTATACCAAAAAAAAAAAATTTCCTTTGTAAAATCATGTTATAAACTCACAATTAGTGCCACGATTTTCGACCTATCGATGCTATATTTAAAAGTAACTGTATTTTGGTATGTTTTCCAAGGGTGAAAAATAAGAATTTAAATACATTTAAAAAGTTGTAGAGATTCAGTAACTATAATTTTTACTATGTAGTACGATCCATATCTATTCATAATTAAATATACTTTCAAATCTCTCTTAGTCTAAAGAACTAAGAGTCTGGAGTTATGTGATTCAAATAGGCTGATGCAGTTGCATGTAAGGTTTTTATAGACTACAAGTGATATTATAAATACGGTTTATGTTATTGTGACGGTCTTAATGATTTTTTGTATTGATGAATATGACCGAAATTCAAAAATATGTTGTTTAAAGTTTAGCTGCATTAAAAGTGCGCTAAAAACTTCTTATAATAGTCCGATTTTGTCAGACAAGAATTGCTCTTCGAAGTAGAGCGGTAAGTGAAGGTTGTGTGATGGGTGTACCAGATTTTTTACTATTATAATTGCCCAATCAGTTTTTGAAAGGCTTTCCTAAATGCTTGTTAAAAATTATTTAATATGTTCTATTCTTGAACAATTTTCATGAAAATAGAATCAAATTTTTTAAATGTACAATAAATAAATATGACAGCAGTTCTCAAAGTTGTTTGTCGCACCACTCTTGTGAGTCTAAAAAAATTTCACGTTACCATTATGCAACTAAAAAAAAATTTGTGGCACTCTTGTCAGACAAACCAAAATTTGTAGCTTCTGAAAGTGGTAATATAATAAAGTCATTTATCATATATAGATTTAAATTTGGCTAAAGCACTCCAGCTCAATCTCCACTGGATTTAGCCCCAGTGAAGCGGTTGAGAGAGAAGTGCAGGGATCTCCTGGAGTCAAGCTTTTCCCTCCACAGTTGGAGGGACAAGTCTGGCTCGGAGATCTCTCGCCTGATTGTAAATAGGTATGTATGTGTTCTCTTTTATTTATTATACTTATTTGGGTTATTTTATACTTATTTATTGTATAAATTACTAATTTTCTGTATTATTATTTTTTTTTATTGTACATAGAGTGTGAATGTGATTTCTGAACATTATTATTAATGTCCTTTAAGACAGATTGTAATATTTTCAATAAACAAGTAAATTAAAAAAAAAAAAAAAAAATTTGCTTAATTCTAATTCTGTTATTAATAAACACAAATTTATATATTTTTATAATGTCTCTTCACCAAGTTGATTACTTTAACCTAAAATATTAAATAATGGAATTATATATTATTGCTGCGGCCACAATTTGAGAACTGCTGTTAAAAAATAAAACGTGGTTAAAAATCTTACCTGCTTATTCAGTGCTGATGTACTGGCTTACTTGTATGCCTTCTTCAGCACTAAAAAATAAATATTATTATAGTAAAGGAAAATAGTGATGAAAAATAAATATAGTAAAAATACATATAAGGTCAAATATAGTTATAGATATTCTTAATATTTTATTTTATAACTGCACCCCACCCCATCATCATCTCTCATATACAAGCCCTTGATTTCATTTTTGGTATAATGAATATTTTTTGCCTTGTTGCAGTTATTGATTTTTAATCTCATGTCGTTTGTTGTTTTAGGTGTTTGAAATGCTTCAGCAAGCTCTTCAAACTCTCCCCGATACATCTGATTTTGATTCAAAGTTGATGGTGCCCACTGAATCATTCGAAAATATGGGAAAATCTAATCATGATACGACAGAAACTGACCCATACGTGATATTAGACGAAATGATGTGCAATATCGTCGACCAACTTTAAGTAGCTGAGAATGTTGTTTTTTTCCGGCCACTTACTTCAATCCAGATCTCTTTCTGTTTCCTATAATACTTGTGACTGTTACTATTAATTGTAAATAATTGATTGTATATAAACCTTTTTTTATAGTTTAAAAGCTTTGTAGATTCCTGAACATCATTAGGTCAGGAAACCCTAAAATATATTTGATGTAAACTTATTTTTTAGGTGATAATTAATTTATTCAGTTAAAATGTATGTTATCATAACATGACAATAAATGAATATACCTGAGTGGAAGCATATAAGTTTGTTTTATTGGAACCATATCTAAATATTATCGACTGAACTATCTTTCAATTTTTATAAAACAATGTGAGCGATTTTCAGAAAGTAATCATGAGAAGAGTAGTAGTGTGTGTAAAAGGTAAGAAAATTCCAGTGAGTCTTTTGTTAGAAATTGGTTACTGGTCCTCCGCATTTTTTTCCTGATTTCCGTCTATTTTTTCTTCTCCCTGTTCATGAAAAATATTTTGTATTGTTTAGTCTGAAAACAAATAATTCCCTATACACTAACACATTATATATTATAAACTTATTGTTACTATGTGTGAGTTTTACAAATTTCATCAATGTGCCATGGAGAATAAAACCAATTTGGTCACGAATTTTCATCAGTTTTTGAAAGAAAAAATAGTAGTTTTCTCAAACCCAATCTTAATTTTAGTATGAAATATTTATTTTATCAAAATTTAGTGCCAGTTTTAAACACTACCTATTTATCCTTTTCTTTAATAGATTATTTCTTTGGAAACTTCATTTTCTTATTTATAAAATGCATTTCAGCGATTGCAATACAATGCAAATAAGACTGTTTAGGAACTCTCAGGAGAGATTTATTTTAAACTGTTTTAGTTTTTAAAATTTAAAAGGAACATTATTTATTAAATTCTGAAACTGACTGAGTGTTATAGTTTGAAGTACTTTTCTTTTGAATATACTTTTTTCATTGTAGATAATTGTTATATATGCAAAATCAAATTTGTCTTTTTTTTTTCAACTCTATGTTCTACCAGTGGAGTATTTTTTATTAGATTTATATATAAAAAATTACAAGAATGTACAAAATTTAAAGTTAAAATGAATCTAACAAATTTAAGTCAGAATAATATATATAATAAATTTTAAGATGATATATTTTGAAATTTTCAAGTTTTGAAAACCAATAATTTTTTTTTTTGTCCTCTCCTTTCTCGCCTGTTAAGCTATATCAGGTTTTACCGGGTCAGAGGGTAAGGACGAGGGATTAATGCCAGAGTTAAAAGTCTTTCCAAGCACCGGAACACAAACTCGAGATTATTTTATCAAATTATCTTTGATCCGGGCAATGATGGTGCTGTGTACACACATTAGCCCTTTCGGCCACCTAATTTCTTTGAAAACCAATATAAAATATTCATTATTTTGATTTTTCCACATTACATATCCAATGATAGCCCACACAATAAGTTATCAAACATACCTCTAGCCATATCTATCGTTAATCTACAAGAATGTGATGAAATACTTCCTCAATTTCAGCTGTTCTTGTATTTTTTTATTATTGGCTTTAAAAAATTTACACAAGAAAAATAATTTAAAAATGTATTTGTAATCTATTTAGTTGGAATAATTAACATGCCAAAAATCATGTAACTTAGAGACATGCAGGTTCAAAATTTACTTTTCAATAGTTGATTTGACATGGAATGAATTTTATCTTTTCCCCTTTTTGAATGGAAAACCTGTTCTACTCTAAAATTAAGGAAATATGGTCATCCTGTTCATAGTAATAAAGTAAAGCAAAGGGAAAGAAAATAAGATTTGTATAATTTTGATATAAAAGTTAGTAGCTGGTATTTCACATTCATAAATTCTAATTGTGATTTGATTAGATTAAAAATTAAAGAAACAAAAGTAATCGTTTTTTAATAATTCTGGTCTCACAGAATTCTTCAAATTATTATGGTGCTTATTTGGTTAGAAAAGAAAAAAATTCACAAAATTGCTAAGTATATAAATCAAAATATTTAAAATTTGAAAAATCTAAAATGAATTTGGATATATTTGGTAAAAAATTAAAACTTTTTAAATAAATGATTTAACACAATAATTTAATATTTAATAAATTACCATAGCTAGATTTAAAAGCCTCCCTCCCCCCTGTCACCAAGCACCGGGACGCAAACTCTTACTTATTTTGTATCTTGTAAACTTTGCTTATCATCTGGTTGCCGCGAAATGCGTATTTTGCCCACACATACGCGAACACACTCAGCCATCCCACTCCTTAATCCTATCTATGTGTAAATTGACTGTGCTGATGAAATCTATGTATACATTATCTGAAACAATTTACGCAATAGTTAATGAGTTAGTAGAGGTCCTTCTTAAAAATTTTGCATTTATTTTCCAAAATGGGAGATTTAAGTAAATGACCCAATACCAAAAACTATTATATTCTCTAAAAGGAGAAAAGAAAAAAATTATTTCATATTTCATAACATAGCTAATGGAACCATAATCTCATGGACTCAGTCTATCAATTACTTAGGCTCAGAAGCGAAACACAAAAAATTCGTCCCATACTTCAATGGATATTCATAAATTTAAAAAAAAAATGATCGACCATATACAAGTTACATATGTTATTCAAATTGCAGGAAATTAGACATAACTGTATAACCAACAGAACAGTAAACAAATTATACCAGCAGTGCAATTATATGTATGACAATTGAACAGTGAACACACCTAGTGACAAAAGAAATTTTCTCTAACACTAATTTCTGATAACTTCATCATAGAGAAAATAGGAGACTGTGACAAGATTTCACTGAAAATAAACATTTATGAAAGTTTATTTGTCTATTATATAATAGTAGACAAAATGTGAACATTATTCATAATTAGTTTAACACTTATATTGTGTAAATATGTTCAGTGAAGTTTCTAGACCATTTGAGACGCAAGCCAAATCAATATTAGAGGCTTCTTAAAACAAAAATAAAATAAAGAAAACCATTAATTTTTTTAATTTAAAAAACACCATTCTCATTTTAGTGAAAAAAAAAATAATATATGGAATGTTTTTGAAGTAAAATTATAATTATTTTATTTATTTATTTAATGAAATTTACAACTGTATAAACTATTCAACTAGTAAAAATGCACACATTATAAATAATGACTTGAAGAGATACTGACCAGTGGTAGCACTCCTAAATTATAATTAAAGTAAGAAAAAATCTGGTGTGTCCACTCACAAGACTTTCCTATAGATTTCAGAGAAAAGTTTTTATATCTTAAAATATGTCCATTGAAAAACAAAACAAAAAAAAAAAGGAACTAGATTTATTTTCCTGAAAATTGAACAAAGCAAATATTTGACTATGACTTCTTTGATAAACTGAAGTGATGTAAACCAGCTTGTAGAAGATCAGAATAAAAAAATTCAATACACTTTAATATTCCCAATCAAAAACTTTTTTCCGTACCCCAATTTTGTCAGGCAATAATTTCTGAAGTGAAACTTGTGTGATGTGGACACCAGATTTTTTGTATTTTCACTTACATAAAAATGTAAAAAGAAAAATCTCTCTTTCACGCCTTTTTGGCAACATGATTTGAACTCATAATCTTACACACAAAATTGAATAGCTATAACTTCATTAATAGTTGTCCAAAATGAACAATTTCTATATAGTTTCGTAGGAAATTTCATTACCTTTCAAAAAGTTAGACTAAATATGTTAAAACAACATAAAATATAAAACTTAACACCTCTCATGGGGGCCATTTTAGTGTCGCCTAAGGCTTTACCTTCCTTCAGATATGCCTTTGTATATATTACCAGGTGTGTTAATTGTGTTTTGTAAATTTTTATTATGTGTTCATTTACTGTGTTTTTTTATTTTACAGATTTTTATAAAATATTTTCCTAATGTTTAATTTTTTTAAAATTAAATTTCCTAATTTTAGGTGAAATATATTAAAAAATCCATTAATAGAAAAGCTTCTACCAGCCATACCCAGCAAGAGGGGTGGTTAGGGCTGGACTTCAAAGGGATCTGAATTTACATTAAAATAAATTATAGATAATTATACATGTATTTTGCAACAATTATGTAATATTTTTATATAATATTTGTGTATTATAGATAATAAAAGGATTCAGATTTTCGTGACATATTTAATATTTCAGGAGGGCTTAAGAAATTTATCCCTAGTGCCTCTGGTTTCGCTCCACAGCCATGCTTGCACCATGACATATAAATATATTTATTATAGACTTGTGGCATTTTATAAATTTTAATTAATTAAAATATTCTATGCTTTAACAAAATGAAAAATACAATTGAAATATAATCTTTTTCTTTTTTGCTTTGAATATCTTGTGAAAAATCTGTTTTATGTAATAAGGAATTTTAATTTGTGTTACAGAAGTCTAAAAGTAATGCGACACACTTATACTTGAAAAAAGTTACAAAAGCATTGAAAGGAAGGTACAGCTGTGAGGTTTCAGCAGATGCACCATCGTTTCGAACTGCACTTTATTCTGGAGACATGAACGTTGTTGGTGAGTACGAAGAAATCATGAATTTTATTGATTTTTCTGATGTAATTACATATTAACTCCGATTTGGCAAAGGTTTTCTATTGGTACTGTATGGGAAATATGAAATTTGATTAAGTGTGTTAACTCATTAAGTTATAGAACAATAAAGTTGTCATAAGTGTTCTCAAAAACAGAGAATGGCAAGTTTTAGAATTTTTGTGAAGCATTTTTTTTCTCCTATGATGAACAACATTATAAAAGTTAAAATAAGAAAATTTATTTATTTTTATTCAATTTTCTTTAAATAATGAACATCTCTACTGTTAGTAATTTTTCATTCTTATTCTATTTGTACTAAAAGTGACATTTTGTAGTCTACAACTGCTATAATATAAGTCTGCTACTATGGAAAATAGTATAGGAAAATAAAATATGATATTATACTAATACTTCATAAAGAAATAATCAGTTCTTATGCTCTCTTGTAAAAAAACTCAATTTTCACATACAACCTTTTGTACTAACAATAGAGATATGAATTTTTAAATTCTTCAAATTTATATTTTCTATAAAAAGAAGGGTTAATAACTCTTTATTACTTTCAAATTGAGTACTTATGTGGAAAACAAAATGAGTAAATTTGACCTACAATAGAATTAAAGTGATAAATAACTTATGTAAGAAAGATATCGCAATATTTAAACAATAAATAAAGGTTCACCCTTAAATAAAAACTTCAATTAACAGTATCAAAGGTTTCATGGGGACTAGGGTGTGGCCTGGGAATTTAAAATAGAATTCATGCTAGTATTCACTTTAAATTAATGCGGTACTTGAGTCACAACAACTATTAATTTTAAATATTTCATTAATAAACTTTAATAATCAATTTATTGTTTTTTTTATATTTTTATTCTATTTTTCCTCTTCTTCGATTTGTGTTTTTTTATTTTCATTACAATTATATTTATTCTTGAAAAACTTTTATTTGTTTTTTTAATTTTCTCTGAAGATCTTTTATATATAAAATCATATAAAATTCTAGGCCTTCCACTTTCTCCATCCACAATTTTGTATGTTGAATATAAGTGTTGGAGGAAAAGCTCCTTGGCAAATGAAGCAACTCTGCAAGGACCCTGAGGCTTGCCAGTGTTAGATTGAGGTTCCTCCTCACTAGATATGGCACAACGAGAAAGATAGAGAGAGAGATAATATATATATTGTTTAAATATGAGAAGTTGGTCGGGGGATGCGGTCAAATGAATACTATTTTGATATATAGTATTCATACCCTCCGACCAACTCCTCATATTATCATCACAGTCAACCATCTCTGCACTATATATTGCTTAAATTTTTTAATGTAGCTTTTGCTCAGATATGGTCACTGTTTATCAGTACCAACTTGTTATTTTTAAGGGACTTTGTCCCAGAATAAAACTTGCTTTTATTTATCTAAATTTTGTTAGGATTTAATAAAATTAATAAATAAATTGTTTAATAAAATAAATTATAATCTATATATCTTATGTTCACAGTCATCCCTACAACCCTTCCAGAAGTACTGATGTCTAAAACAAAATACAGAATCGGCGAGACCCTTAAGGCTGAGTGCACCTCAAAAGATTCCCGCCCAGCAGCAAATCTTACTTGGGGCCTAAATGGTCAAACGGTAAATTAATATCAATGCTAATCAGTGTGCTGAAGTTCAAATTGTCTTTCATATTTTAACTTATATGTTTTAATACAGGCTATACTATTATGTATAACCTCTTGATTCCTTTATTTTTTAAATTATAAATGTCATTGAAGTAATTAAGTATATTGTCGGATTATTGCAAAAAGTTACTATGTGCATTATTGATAGAGCTAAATTTTTTAGTGAGCTTTTATGAACGTAAACCTTATTTATCGATTCAAAAGCAATTTAAGTACATCAAAATGAAACAAACTCTTTCATAAATCAAAAATGATTACTGGAAGTGTATACCATGCTCTCATTTCTCAGTGGTAAAATTTATCAAAGCATTTAATGATTTTATAAAATATCACTTAAATGACTTTTTGGAATAAACCCACAGTTTTAGATTATTTTTACCATTTCTATTTGGTTAGTCAGAAACCTGCCATTAATTTCCTCTTCTATTAATAATAGTAAATAGTAATATTTTGGTGCCTGTTTAACACTTAAATAATATATTAATTTGTAAGTACCATCAACCTTAATTATCTGTAGAAATAAGTTGCTGTCGATAATTGATTTTTTTTTTTTTTTTTTTTTATAAAAACATATTGTAAAACCAGTGAAAACTAATTATTTCACAACGAATATTTCTGTTATAATCAGTGTTATATTTAGTGTCACTGAATATTATACAAATATTCAGAATATGTAATTAAATCTCCAAATTATTTTACAAAAAGAAAAGGTAATGAATGGTTTTAAATGAATATATGAATTGCCTCATACCAAATACGGACATCTGTAATTTTTAAAAAGTTAAGAAAAAGCCAATTTTTATAACATAACTTCAATTTAGACCAATTCTAATGATTGTTTTTCATAATTCAACTTGAACATTCTTAAATAAACTCATCTGAAACAGTTGGAGTTGAACCTATAAAACAAAAATTGACTTTTTCTCCATTTTTTTAATATATCAGATGCCCGTCATTGATATGTATGCATAAAAGACAAGACATATATACATAAAAGATATGAAAATAAATAAATAATAATGGATGTTCGGGTTAGTTTCAATATATAACTAATCGTTATATCTGATCCCCAGGTTCGAAATAGAATAAAGTTGAGTACTCTGTATTTGAAATAAACTCACTTTTATTTCACTACAAACTTTAAACAGAGATTTTAGAGCTTTTGACTTTTAGACTTTTTATAACAACAATAACAATTAATCACATATACATATTTCAACAATATGTGAAACTATTAAATATTTATAAAATAAATATCACTTTTGATTGATTCCCTAACAATGGATATGCATAAAATACATGAAGATACATAAATTTACACACTTCAGAAAAGGGTAGATAACATAAGAAAATTGTTTACTCTTTTATAAGAAAACACTTTCTTTTAATCTGTAATTGGTTTCTGCAAGAAACTAGTTTATAAGCCAGTAATGCTTCATTACTTATTTACAAATATTATAGGAAACCAGTAACATGTTGCAATAGCACTTGATGACTTAATCATTGCTCTCTATTGGATGCATCCCCTTCATCAGGTTCATTGTCAAATGTCTAATTTATATTGCTCATCAGTTAAGCGTTCAATCTAGTATCATCGCCACCTTTGGTGGTAAAAATTGGCAATAATCGTCCATTTGCTGATAGAATTTTTTTTTAGCTTTATTTACGGAAGAGATTTATGAATTGCATCATAATACTCACTTTCTGGTTTTTCCTAGCACTGTCATGTCTCTGGTTATTGGACCAAGTTGATGTGGCTTTATCCTGCTTCATGGCAGCCATACCTTCTAGGTGTGTTTCTTCACCTATATCCTTAGAATCAAAAATCCTTCTATATCCTAGAACTCACTCTATATTCCACTATTTACTCTCTTAACCCAAGATTTCAACCTTTTGATTTATGTATTCCCTCTTATAAAAACAGTTCCTTCACCAAATCTTTCATCTATGTGCTGTCTCCTTCCGTTATACCTCATCCATTTCTATATAACAATTCTTAGTTCCAGAAAAAAAAAAATTTTCATCTCATATACTCTCAAATTTTGAAAATAGAGACTTTTTCAAACCAACCATTCAAAATAATTTATTCATATTTGCTCTTGTTTTGTTCAATAATGTACAGATATATTTCTTACTTTGGTGCCTTTAAGTAAACAATTTTTTTGTTGCCTTTTCCAATGACAGCTTGTTTCAGTTTTTTGTGATTCTTAACAGCATTATTGGGTCTGAAATATGTGTATTTTTGTTTTAAATTTTATATCTATTTATCAATTCTTTATCAAATTTCTAGTATGTTGAACCATTCATTGAGTTCCTTTTTTTTTTTTTTTTTAATTCTCTATTAACTATTCAATACCAATAATAACAATTTGTTCTTTAAAAACTTTTGCCGCTAATAATCCTTATTGATGATAATCAATACAGATAATCTGGGGTTGACTGTATATTGATTTAAGATTTTTAATTTTCATTTTATTTCTTTCTAATATTTTTTTTTCTTTTATAGCTTGATTCAGAATATGTTAAAAAGTTCAACATCATAAGAGATCCGGATACAAACTTAGAAACGTCAGTATCTCAGCTTTCACTGATTGTACAGAGACATCATTTCTCGAGTAATGGAAGGCTTAAGGTATCTTTAATCAAATATATATATATAGTAATACACTTGTAGGAGCAGAACAATCGATAGGATTTTGTTTTATTTATTTTTATCAATACAGCTGTATCAAGTGTGAACTCATTCTTATATAAAGTTACAAAAAGGTGTTAACTGTATTATTAAAAAATATTGCATGAATTAAACAAAATCTCTATCTTTTATTAAAGATATTTATTAAATTTTACATTCGCCGACGTTTCGGCCCAAAGTTCAGGCCTTTATCAGGGCTCGGAAAAGAACCAGATAACAATAGGTATAATAACATGGAATAGACATTGAATAATAAAGAATTAAGATTAAAGGTTAAGTATGGACTAATAATTTTAGTAGAACAACTTAACGTAAAATAAAGTAGATAGAATGAATAGAAAGAGAAAAGAAATATTCATATCTATTATTTCCTTGTATAACTTCATATTTCTTTTCTCTGTTTTACCCTTTATTTTAGATTACCATTCTCATTTGTTATGTTAGCTAATATTTTATTATGCTTATTTTCTTATTCCTCTGTTATTGTTATCATTCTACCTACCTAATGTTAATTCTATCTACTTCATTTTACGTTAAGTTGTTCTACTAAAAATTATTAGTCTATACCTATCACCTTTTTTAATCTTAATCCTGTATTATTCAATGTTATTACACCTATTGTTATCTGCTTCTTTTCCCAGCTCTGATGAAGACCTGAACTTCGGGCCAAAACGTCGGCGAATGTAAAAATAAATAAAATTATTATTTATCTTTTATCCATCAATTTGATTGATCACCCCAACCATACTTCTCTTCAATTATTCACTACAGTCAACCATAAATCCACAATAAGTGGATGAGGTTATTTAACAATTTATTCTGGGAATATAATTTCAAATAAATTCTGCCCGGATCTAATTTCTGAGCATGGGGCAGAATTTTTGAAAATGTTACTTACACCACTTTGAATTTTAAAATTCATTTAGAGTCCTTTAAAATACAAAGACAACTGAATAATAATAGCTATTATGTACCAATGTTTTTCAATATTTCTATTTCTATTATCCTTACGTTCAAACATTTTAAGTTTGAAACTTAATGTGTTCTATTTAACGCTAGGTGCGTTGTACTGCTAGTATACACAATGTTTATTGGAGAACAACTGAAAGGAGTGCAGAAGAAGACAGACCCAAAGTTCTTGATGCAGCTCAAGTTAGAAAACCAACCGAATTCTTTTGTGAGTATTATATCAATTTATTAGTTAAATTAATTGATTCCATGCAAAATAAAAAATTCTTCTATAATTGTTTACCTCAACAAACCATTTATCTTGCATGGGAGCCACACCATATTCCACATCAACCCACAAAAGTTCAACTTGATATCCAATATTCTCCACAAGTTTCAATGAAAATTTGTCACATTATTTCAATTCAACAATAATAAAACATCCTTAACTTAATCCAATTCTACTGAATAGTTTCAGAATTACGGCCATTTAAAGTTTTAGGAGATTTGAATTTTAAAGAAAAATTTGAGGCTGGAAAGCTTCAGATTTTATTTTTTATTCTTAAATTTTATGTCAAATCAGATGATTCTATTAAGTATTGTCATTTTGCTTTTTGAAAATGGCTATTCTTATATACAAAAATAAATATTCGTCCATTTTTTTGTATTAAAAAAACTTCTGAGCTCTTAGTTTATTATAAGACACCATGCTAATTACTTATTTCAAATTGAATTTTTGCTTTTAATAGTCCATGGTAAACCTCTTTTGATCAAATCTGTTCAATCATTCTCACTTTATATCGAGAATGATTATTAGTCTGTAACATTGCAAATTTAGGTTATGTGTTTCTCAGGATATATTGGTAATCTCATAAAAAAAAAAAAAAAAATAGCAATCAAACCTCAGAGAACAAATTGCACCAGATGCTTTAAGAAAAAAAAAAAATGAAATAACAATTTCTTTTGATGTTTTAGTACGTATTGAATTCTTTGTGCACATCTCATGATTATTTGATATCCATGTCATACTCAAATTTATTTTCTAGTTTTAAAATAAGTCTCATTGTGAAGAAATTGTGGTTAATAGAAAAACTGAAGTCACTTTTCTTACAGACTTCCCTTAAGAAAAAATGTTACCACTTTTTTTTTTCTGATGTATGGACGCACCGTGGCCTCATAGAGCCTATTGTCCTAAAGCTTTATTAAAACAGGCCAGATGCCTTTACAAACTTTTCAATTCTAATGGGGTATATTAGTTTGCAATGCTCAGAGTCAGTGATACGATCACATCCAAAGTGAAAGTATTGCAGTCTAGTTAGATTATCACATCTACAGATAATGTGATAGGCTGTGTCGTCATCCAAGCCAAATAGCCTGCAGGTGGGAGTCACACTTAAGCCCAAGTGTCCTACTAGGAACAACTTAGAGTGAGTTTGTTTCCTAGTCTGTTCCCAATATAGCCTAAATTTATTACCAACAACTGCCTTAATATGCCTTTTGGCACAGCTGGAGCTAATCCCACAAATAGATTCTGGTACAACCCGGCACTTGTTCAGAGCCCTTTCTAGCAAGGCAATCGGCTTTCTCATTACCTGGAATGCCTGAATGCTCTGGCACTCATTTAACCCTCATCTTGTTGGTGCTACAGAGAAAGTTCAGATTTCCTTTACATTCATCGACCACTTGGAGCAGGTAACTATTCAAGGCCCCAATTGCCGCTTCACTACCAGCATATATTATAATCAATCTATTCTTAATGCCCTCCCTTATTATTGATTCCTTGTCGGTCAATCCTTACATCAGTCAATAGATAGATAGAATCTCGGTCTGAAAGACCGATATATATCTACCTAGAGATATGAATATTCCCTCATTAGGTTTATCCGTTTTATTTGCTCCACCAAGGATCCGTCACTCATAACACCACTTTCTTCTTCTTCTCCTTAACACTACAGGCTATGTGGGACCTTGTACTTATCAATGACTCACCCTCTCTGTTCCTGGTCTGCCATGAGAGTCCTTCTTCACACAACACCAATCCTCCTTGATCAGCCCTAACTACTTAAGTGATGGCCTTCCACTCCTTCTAGCTCCTCCAGGTCATCCCTCCGTTTTGTTTTTGTTAACTGATCTGCTGCCATCCTCTCAATGCTATTCAACCATCCTTTGATTTGATGAAAATGATGATTTTAGCTTTTCTGAGTAGTTCATCAGCTCCTAATTGTATCATGATTACCATATACCTCTTTTCTAAATAGGCCCATACATTTTGTAAAAGAACATCCTCTCCCATATCCTTAACATTCTGTCTGTTTAGCACAGTGAAGGGTAATTAATATCTCTTCTCCACAACTGTAGTGGCTTCTATTTCGGTTTCAATGTTATTTTTTTCTACTATCAAAGAGCCAAAGTATTTGGGTTTTTGGCATATTCGGAAACTATAGAGAGCTATATTTATTGCATCTAACTATATTTATTCCTAACTCTGCCTCCTCCCGAATTAACACTTAAAATATTACTCAAAAATAAATATTTTATTCTTTTTCATCTTTTGTAGTATTCTGAATAATTTTAAATTTAGAAGACATTTCTTTAAGCACAACTGTTTGGATCAATTAGGTGTACCAACATCATAGTATGAAATGTTTACAATAATCAACCTTTTGGTTCTTCCATATGTTTAAAATTGATGTGTAATAATGTATTTCAAATAATAAGATTATTTATTGATTTATCTATTTTATTAATTTATTTTCAGCAGACACTACACCAGTACCTTCAAGAAGTAGTCGGACAGTGTTCAGGTGGTCTTCCTTCGGAAAGATAGAACCTTTGATTTTATTAATTAACTTGCTCACATATTTATGTTCCTTAATGTTTGTTTGAAAAAAAAAATATTCATAAATGACCATTATCTATGTACATAATGTAAATATTGTTTCATCACTTGAAATTCTAATGTATATGTTAACAATGTCTAAATTTTATAATGTTATTTTTATTTAAAAGTTGATATATACTATAAATTCATTAATTATGTTATTTATTTAAATGTGTAATCAAAGGTTGGCCCTAAATGTCTTTTATCTCTTATTGCCTTAAGGTCAGATGTTCTTTTGTTGGTATCAAATCTTTATCTCTGTTTATTCATTAGGAGACATAATAATCTGATTTATCTGAGGAAATTTCAAACTTGTTTTTTAATAATTTCAAGGCCTATTCACAAAAATTTTATAATGCTCATGAATGTAGAAACAGAGAGAGATAGAGATTGGGACAGAAAATATTTTATTTACAAGCAATGCTATCTTGCTACATCTGGTTGCTAATACCATATACTTATCAATCTGAATTAGACATAACATAATTTTTTTTTTATTTTATATCCTAGATATATCATACTTACACTTATACAGCATTGCATTAAAGCCGATCTGAAGGGACTGGGTTTGGACGGCGAACGGTGGAGGGAGGTGTGTAACAAGCGATTGGTGGTGTCGGCATCGAACCTTCGGGTTCGCTAAGCCTTATTATTATTATTATTATTATTATTATTATATATATATATATATATATATATATATATATATATATATATATATAATAATAATAATAATAATAATAATAATAATAAATGGCATTCTAATCATAACTAAATGAGTCATTTATTTCCAAAGTGAATCCGAATCAATTTTATGGAAATTGAGATATGTTTTGATTCTCGTGTAAAAACACCCAATGAACCCGATAGTGCAATTATTTTGTTTCAAAAGCGAAGTTAAATATTTAAAGAATCGATGAGAAAAAATAAGTTTATTTCAATACCAGCCTTTTTTACAAGAAATGTTATAAATGTTATAGTAAGCGCACCAGCGATGGACATAGCTGAGGAGATTTTTGTCTTTTTGGCTTATGTCACTGTAATTATTATAGTTATAAACTTTTCCATTTAATATTTAGAATCTCTAGGGTCTTCTTTTTCTATTTAACACTTTAAAATTGAAAAAAATATTCAATTACGGAATTATAATCTCCATTTAAAAATTCATCTTGTTGCACTAGTGATGGACATCCCGAAATTCAATTGTTCTAGTAATGGACAGGGGCTCGGTACCAGTAATGGACATACCTCAGAAAAATTCTATAATCTTTAGTTAACTATAAAGATAAGATAAGTGTTCATCTTACTCTTAGCAAAACTGTTAGTAGAAAGGTACGAAACACACTTATCTCAAGAGCACTATAGAAACAACAATGATAAGACATATTAAAACTTTCTTTTAGGAACTTTATTCATACAGTTATCAATATATTTAAATACAAATACTGGTTCATTCTGAATATATGAGAAAATTAAGTAATACTACATGTATTACATACCATGCAAAACAATCATGTAAGCTAGAAAGGAGACTCAATATCTTCTGAATAGAATAATAGATATAAATGGATAAAGAGTTTATATTTAAGATATTTTTTTATATTTTTTTTACAAAATATGAAGGATTTTTCCAAATGAAGCAGTTTTAGGCAAGAGATGTCTAGGGGCTTAAGCCTACTAAGTCAGTAATTAATTAAATATCAAGCTGCCTCATAGAGCTTAGAGACATCATGCATTAATTTTATGAAGAATCCATTAACCTCAAGTTCACAAATCATCTTAGGTTCCAATAATAGACATTTTTAAATTCATTATCAGATAAGATATTTTAATCCATATGCAAAAACACTTCAATTATTCGACTCAGGCCGACTTTACCCGAGTGTTACATATCAGAAATCTAATGGCTTAATCTAATTCACACTTCACAAATAAGAACAAAACACACCTAAAGAAGTTTTCACAAAAAATCTATCAACAACTATATTTGCAATCAACTTACCTAGTTGCAATGATCCGCCATCAGAACTAAAGTTTTGGTTCACATTAATGTTGAAAATTTCTATTATCAGTACATTTATCTTATATATATGTTAGATTTATGTTGAATTGGAATAAAATAATTAAGAATATTAATTTTTTCGGAAAAAGATATTGTGGAATCTTAAGAGCTGTATGAGGATTAAAATGAATTATTGGATAATAAGCTCTCTAAAAAAAAAATGAATTACTGCTCTAAAAATTAAAGCATTAAATTGTAATTTTTCTCTAATTCTTGGCCCTGAGAATAGAAAATAAACTTTAAGATTCATTCAGAAACAAAATATAGTCCTTAGGTTCTGGAATTAAGGTCACAAAATTTAATAATAAATAAACTTATGGTTATATTATTGGTAGTATAGGATCTCTGAGATGGGCTGATTATGTTTGAAGTTTAAATATGCTGTAATTGATAGATTAGTATTTCATGAAGAAATAAAAAAGGTAACAATATCTTTTGTAAAAGGATACATCTGACCTTGAGGTAATGTTTCTTTACAATTACTTGGGTACCTGTTGTTAACTGTTAATCATATTCTTTGTTATCTAATTAATACAATATTTTAGTTATTTTGGATTTTTTGAGAATACCTTTGTATATAATTCAATGTAAATAACAAATAATTTTTTCCTAACTATTGAAAATATATTTTTACTGTGGAAGTCTGTTTTGTCAGTGTGTGCCAAATATTTTTTTCATGAAATTAATACATAATATTAAATCATGGACAAAATTTGATATTTATACTTATATGAATGTATATATTATATATACCAGCCATTGGGACAATAAAGCCTAGTTATAAACAATGAAAAATTTTATTAAGCAATTTAACCTATTTCCTATCAACTGAAATAATTTCTTATTTTAATATAGTTCAAAAATGTATGAATTTACATTTTTTTGAAACACCCACAGTTTATTACTAATATATTTTACAAATATATCTGTTTGGATTGTTAATACCATGTAAAATAACAAATGTGAATTTTAATATTTCCCAGAAGAGTAAAAAAACATATTGAATCTTATTATTTTTTTTATTTAGTCAGTCGTGTTTTATATTTGTCACCTACAGCAAGATGTATCTTGTATCGTTTGATACTATTGTAAATAAAAGAAATATAACAATATGTTTTTTCATATTTGTTACTTTTACATGGTGCCAACGATATGATCATATTTAAAGCTATATATTGAGCATAACGTCTTTTAATGAAAAAGTGTTGTTATAAGTTCAAAATTATCATTATGACATCAATTATTACAAAATTATCATCAATGCCAATAGTTTAGTTTCACTCATATTTAATTTGGATTGTAAATACCTGTTTCATACACATGATTAGTATAATACATATTAACTGAAGAATATCCTAAATTTATTTGTAAAAATGACAGGAATAAAAAATATTGGTTTGACAGAAAATGTCCGAAGTATGGTGACTTTATATCAACCTGTTTCTTTTTTGTTTTTTTTCCAAACATGGTGTATAACTATTTTGAAAACTATTTTTCAAAACTTACAGTGCTTCAATATTCTTGAACATCCAGGGACATGAAAGCTGACTAGAATTTTGGCCATTTGATTAAATAATTATGTGTAAAAATGTTAACATAAAATTCTGTTCAAAAGATGATTTGATACCCATTTCTACTGTACTTAAATACCAAATGAAGATTTTTTTTTTTTTTATCATACTGCAACTAGTCTTTCAAAATAATGTAAGGGACAGAAATTCTGTCACTTTGGGAAAATAACCCACATATCAGCTGAAATGAGCTTTAAAACCAGGAAGCAGCAACAGCACAATAGCTCACTTTATTCATGTCTTTATAGGGTTTATTTAGAATTTGTTTGAGAGAAAATTCAGTGAATAAATATGGGTAGCCGAGTGTGCTAATGGGTGCACAATATATGTGCCTGGCAAACTGATAATCTGAAGAACATAGGTTCGAATCCCGATGCCAGAACATTTAATGCTGGTATTTAATCCTGCATCCTCTTTCTAAGTCCAAGAAAAACCCCACAGAGCCAAAAATGAAAGGTAGGAAAGAGAAAAAAAAGGAGGATTTTTGGGAATTTAATTTTTCTAAACATTTAAATGAAAATATATCAAGTATTATTATTTAATTTTAATTTCATTATTGTATTTAGTGGTACAATATCTAATGTAATTACAACCTAAATTGTGCAACTTTTGTTCCAAAGGATCATGGAATAGTGAGTTTAATTATCATTAATCAAAACACACAAATTGATATCAAATAATCTACAAATCAATTTACTATAAAAATAAAATTTTAATGTTTAAAATTAAATAAAATTTTGAGAAAAATCTAACAGCAAGTCCTCAAGATTTGATTATTGCATCTCCACCAATAATAAGAAAAATCAGGTTAATTAGAGAATGGTCCATTATCATAAATGGCATGGGCTACAAGTGAGAGAAATACTTTATTGAAAAAGGTGTTTTTACACAGCCTACTAATCCATCTAATGGACATAATTTTTACATTACATTATTTTGTTATTATACACATACATATTCTCCTTTTCCTCTCTTATTATAACACTAGTCATGTAAAATACTATCAATAAACTGTACTAGAATATTATTACTTCATAACATACATATTGAAAAAAAAAAAACTTTCTGAATGCTAGAAATACAAGAACAAATCACACACACACCAAACAAGATTATAGGACTTTGCTAAAATTAACATTAAATAAATAAATAATAATGAACATCCTCAATTGACAGTTAATTACAATATAAGTGGTAGTGGATGATCCCCAGGGAGTGTAGAATAATGATTTTGGGTAAAATCGCTAGCTCCCCGACATCAACACCTAGTTCCTTGAGGAAGCTCCTTGTTCTTTTTGGAATTCTTCCCTGAC